CTTGCACTACCTTACGGACTGAAACTTGTCATGCGTGACTCCCAAAACTCCTAGGTTTGTGTTGCAAAATCCCCATCTTGACTCTGGTGTGGGTACGTTTTTACTCAGGATACTTCTTCCTCCGTCCCCACGAACTTCACCTGGATCACTCGGCCAAACGTGTCGTTATGAATTGAAAACGTTTCTGGGTCTCCTGGACGATGATTTCGAAGTAGTTTGCCATGCTATTTTGGTATGACTCTACTGCGCCCTGTGCCGCGTGGCCTCGCAGAGCTCCTCGCGTAACGCAGTTTCTCATGCGAGACACACAACACAGAGCCACGAAAAAACAAAAGCTGTCATGCTTGGCGACACATCATACTGTCCTTATGGTTCACTGACATGCATCACAAGTTTCCAGACCCAGACATATTTGCCGTGGATATCCGTCTCCCAAGTGCGATCCGATCTGCCATTTCTCCTCGTCTCCTAGGAACTGGAGTATGACAGTGCACAACTCCCTCTCCAAAACTCCAAATCCAAGTCCTTCCCTGTGGCACTGTTTGGATGACAGATTCCGGAAGCCCAAACAGTACTACAACAGGCGCATGAACTTGTCATGCACAGGCTCCAGGTGTGGCGGTGTTTGTGTTGCTGTTCATGCAATACAAATCAGGAGGAGGTGGAGTTATGCACTCTCATATGGAGGTTGGAAAATTGAAAATGCTCGGGGCTGGTGCTACGACTGGAAGATCGGTCGCCGCCGCGTGATTCGCGTCTCTGCGCTTGTATCCAATGCAAAAATGTCTCGGTCTGGAAGAATGCAGATTTTTGTCATGCTGTTTTTGCACGACACAAAATGTTTGTCATGGAAGCCCTACCATCACAGACTTCAAGAAGCTTCCGCATTGCTTAATCCGCATGACAAATCCCCCATTTTACTGACAGGAATTGGGCACCTTTTGCTGCCTATGCATGAGAGATTTGTCTGTGTTGTGAAATGCGCATCACAAGTCCGCATCCTTCCAGACCCAGACATATTTGCAATGCATAGCTTGATGGGTAAATTGAAAGCGTTCGCGTCTACGAATGGAAGATCGGTCGCGGCCTGGTTGTCGTCTCTGCGCTTGATAATTCCCGCCTCGTTCATCCGCGATCCGACGCTGCCTGCTATCCTCCCACTCTCGTCGTTTCGCTCCCCTCCTGCTCCCCTCCTCCTCCGGCTCGTTTCGCTCTCGTCGTCTCTCTCCCCCGCGGCTTTCCCGTCCTCCGGATCGCTGCCTATCGCCGGCCCGCCGTACATTTTCGCGTCCTAATATCCACTGCAAACATGTGTGGGTCTGGAAAAGTCGTGTAAAAGTCTGTCATGCAGGTTTTGGAGTATAAATATTCTCGAATTATTTGCACATCGCTAATGCAAAAGTAGCAAATTACAGGCTTGCGCGAGGTCTCTTGGTGCGCCCCACTGTCTCGCATGAGAACTGCGCTGTTTGCGTAGCGGAATACGGGCAGCTCTTCGAGCCTCTGTACTACAGATATATAATATGTGTGATGCAGAGTTTGCATTACAAGTTGAAGTTTCCGTCCACCATCCTTCCAGACCCACACATGTTTTCCAGCCGTATGCTGCTCCTGCTGACGAGTCTGCCCTCCTTGCCGTCCGTTTCTCTTGCTTTCACTCCGTCGTCTACCTCGGGTTTTTCTGCAGTGTAAAAGTATTGCACTCGTATAAGTGCATTACAAATTTCCTCAGCATGAGAAATAAAATTTGTAATGCTGATTTACCTTGAGAAAAAGATTTGTAATGCATGATTGCAATACGAGTGCGATACTTTTGCACAGGATAGCTCTGCTGCGCCGGTCCTCCAGATCGCGAGCACGACCTCGTCGCTCGACAGCATCTCCGACACTATCCTGTGCAAAAACTTCCCCACCCCGTAGTGAAGCATGGGGATTGGCTACACAAAGCCAACGTCTTTTGGCTGTCGCGCATGACAAGTTTGGGCTCGCCGTGTAATAGCGTTTTCCTTTTGTAGCTGCATCACAAATCGATCCGCTCATGCTGATTCTAGCATGACAAACTGCCAGACAGCATAATACAGAATTCTCTTCATGGGGCTCTGTATGGCAAAACATTATGAGGCTTGCGAACTTGCATGACAACTATGGGCGGGGGACGTTTTTACTCAGGATAACCACCTCCGGAGGTCCGCCTTCTGCTACGGGTTCCACGTCGGCTGCGTTGTCCTTTCTGGTGGTTGGTATGGAAAGAAAAAAAAGTGCTGAAGAAGTTGTACACTGTGCTTTAGGAAAACAAATCCAAGGCAGGCAGTACCAGTTTCAACATCCGCGTTTTATTTAGTAACCTCTCCTATGCAGATGATGCATGCCGGGTTTGCATGCTGAAGCTCAAGTCCCAAATCATGTCAACGCGTAATAAAACTGCAAAAGCAATTTTTTTCTATGCGTACTCGAAGACGACGTCGCTGCTATCACGAAGATGGCCCCCTCGTCGAACGTCGTCACTGCGTGAAAAGCGAGCGGCGCCGGGTGCAGCGTGCGGGCTGGGAGATGGCCGCGTCGTGCCCCGTTGATTCGTGCGGGGTTTGCCTTGATGACCACGGTGGTCGTGTTGGTGGTGGTGGTAGGCACTACTCGACGGCGCCGCGTTTCCGGTTTGCGGCTGGCTCACGTGCCGCGCGCCGTCGTTCTCGTTGCCGATGCTGTCCGCATGCCCGGGCAACCTGGGCCATCCGAGCAGCTCTGCGATTTCCGGCGAAGCTTCGGGGAGGCCTTCCATGTCCCGTAGCGTCAAACTGAGATAAAGAGCCGTTTCTAGCATGTCCACATCTTCGCCATCTCCTACCGCGTTCTGAAATATCCGCACCTTGCCCCGGATGTCGGCTTGCTGGTTGATCGTTTTAAATAGCGCGTCGTAAGTTCTCCGCTTCTCGGCGTCGTCCTGGTACTGCCTGAATCTGCGCCATGCCCTCCTATATGCGGCTGAATATGCTGCGTGAAACTGCATCTCCGCTGTTCAGCGTAAGCCCGCCGAAAACTCTGACGTTTCCGCTTTGAAAGAAGGTCCCACCCGCGATGGACGTCTGATCGGTTCGTGTCAAAGAGTTATCAAATGCAAAAACGTCGGGGTCTGGAAGATTCTGAGACCTGTCATTCATATTTTGCATAAGCACAAACTGCAACTAGACTTGTCTTGCTGGTCATGCAATACAAATTTTTTTGGAGTCCAAAGTTAGCATCACAAGTTCCAACCTTCCAGACCAAGACATTTTTGCATTTGATAAAAGGGCTGCTCAACTCCTGCTCGTTAGGACTCGACGTCAGGAGTCCACTGAGAGACGATCGGGATCTTCGCCATAAATAATCTGACGCATGAACAATTATACCACATGCAGGCTTGATGAAAATTACTCGACGAGATCTACATACGTGCTAGGCGTTGTCGAAACAAGAATGGCATAGCTACGCGCTTCGTGTTGTCGTGTTGCACGCGTGTAGTTTTGTAGTCCTCTCTTGCCACAGGTTACAGCACATACATCCTCTCTTGCTACAGAGAATTACAGCACACACATTCTTAGTTTTGTGTGTGAAACAATAATCGAATTGCAACAACTGCGAAGGACCACTGAGACACGACGGAGCTGCCCGGAGGAGAATACTAGACGGTAGCCGAAAATATTAAACCTCTACGATCTATCAAGTAGGTTGTTCACAACATACAAGACACGAGTTTTCGCGGCCCCGACTGGTACACGGCATTAGATGATATTATTAACCTCGGCTTCTGATTATAAAACAGAACTTACTTGTTTTTCTAGGGATCCTCCAGTTATGATGCTGTCAAAGCGTCACTGTATCTTATCTTCTGGTCGTCAAATGGTCCACCAAAACTGATGATGTAAATCTGATGAATTTATTCTATTCGGCGCTTTCGCCTCAGAATATCCTTTTACGACCCTGCATTCTCATTATCGCCTGGATTGGTACTCTATCTGCTGCTGAAACCGATTGAAAAGATTGTGCTGCTGATGTAGAAGAAGAAGAAGAAGAAGAAGAAGATGATGATGACAAAGTAGAAGCATTTCTGTAGTTGGAGCTGTTATTCGAGGAACCAGATTATCCTCCAAAACTCCTTTGTTGCTTCACTTGGACTGCTGTTGGACAAACGAACCGAGAGGAAAATAAGCCTCTTCATCCTCACTTGTCCTCTACGCCAGAGGTAAAACAAAGATCATCCTCACCCGTGACTAGTAGCCATCAAATATGTACGAATTTGGATCTCCATCTCGTTAGCCCCCTTAGCAGACAAAAATATTAAAGACTGGCATCTAATAATCCGTAGCTGTTGTACCTGTACCTCATAGCTCTGCTATTGTAGTAGAAATCGAAAGGTGGTGGAAAATAGCGTGCTGGAGTGGCTGCACGGCATCTTTCTGAAACTGCCTTGAACTTGTCCAAAAGTGGGCATCTTTTGGTAATCATGCAACACAATTTTTTGGTACGATGCAGATTTAGCATGACAGGTTGCAACCTTCCAGAGGACCCAGACATATTTGTTGCTTCACTTGGACTGCTGTTGGACAAACGAACCGAGATGGAATAGATAAGCCTCTTCAAATCCTCACTTCTTTAGGCTAGAGATAAACAATCAAGATCATTCTCGTCCGTCGTGATTACTGCCAAATATGTACGAATTTGGATCAACATCTCTTTACTGTTGTTTTAGTACTTATTCTGATCTTTCCCATCGTGATTCTCGACTCTTTCACGACCCTGCAGCTCGTCCGTGAAAAATAAACAGGAAAGAACGTTTTCAAAGATATATCTTTTGCCTTCGAGTCGGAGTGGCAACACACTTCTCGTTGAAAAAACATAAATAAAATAAGCCTCTTCATCCTCACTTCTCTACGCCAGAGATAAAAAAATGAAGATCATGCTCATCCGTGACAAGTAGCCATCAAATATGTACGAATTTGGATCTCCATCTCGTTAGCCTTAGCAGACAAAAAAGACTGGCATATAATAATCCGAAGCTGTGCGTGTGCCTCACAGCTCTGTTATTGTAGTAGAAATCGGGAGGTGGAAAATAGCGTGCTGGAGCGGCTGCACGGCATCGGCATGTAGAAAATATTGGTAGTCTTTTGAAACGCTTCTGCTCCTGCAACCTCTGCTGCAACACAAAGTCCAATTTTTTATTCTCAAGATGATTGAAAATGAAAAGCATCGCTACTCTAGTGTCTATATTCTCAAAATCGAATTAGTCGTGGTAGGAACTACCTAGTTGTACGTATTGAATTTTATTTCGCAGAAAAGAAGTGGTAAAACTTGTTCAGAATCGACAGAAAGGGAAAAGTTTCGCTTCTGGGTCTGGGCCTTGCTGGTAGTAAAATACAGTTGTGTGAAGAACATATTCATTGGTGAATACAATTCGCCACATTCGAGCCAAAATTGTGAAACACCTACATGAATAATTGTATTTTCGAGCAGGTTTTCATGCAGGTCTGCATTTCCACCACCACCGACTTTCGCATTACTCCATTTCCATTTTCCACACCGCTTGCAGAATCGGCAAGCCGTACCCCGGCTCATCGGTGAGTTGCTTCGACCACGCGTCCCGAAAGACGTACTTTCTCCACGTGTCTTTGAATTCCAGCATCTGCGTCATCGAAATAATGCATGACAGTGCACAACGCCCCCTCCCCCTCATTTGTATAGCATGAACGGCAGTACAAGCGTCAACAAGAATGCCAGTTTTGCATGACAAATTTACACAGGATTGTAGTACTGTTGGGGCTTCCTGAGTTTGTCATGCAAAAAGTGCTAAGAGGCACAGCCTGGATTTGGTATTTTGCATGACAAATGAGGGGGAGGGGGAGTGGTGCACTGTCATATGATGTCCAGCTGCTTCGTCGCGGGATCGTCCGGAAACGGAGGCATACCACGACGACCCTCGTCGGCCAATCCGCTGCTTTGACCCGTGTTCCGCTCTTCTGTCTCCCCTGCCGTTCGTGTACTTTTCAGGTACATCTGGTCGATCTCCCAGTCCTTGAGCTCGTCGTGGATTTTCTTTTGCAAGTAGTCCATTTTTCCGGCGCGGGCGGTAGATTCTTTGTTGGATTCATTTGCCATCTCGATGGACTCCGATGTGGTGG